TTAAACTAAAGGGGGGTAGATTCAGACTAGATATAAGGAAGAAATTTTTTACGCTGGGGGTGGTGAAGCACTGGCCCAGGTTGCCCAGAGAGGTGGTGGGTGCCCCATCCCTGGAAACATTCCAGGTCAGGCTGGACGGGGCTCTGAGCAACCTGGTCTAGTTGAAGATGTCCCTTCCCACGGCAGGGGGGTTGGACTAGATGGCCTTTAGAGGTCCCTTCCAACTCAAACCGTTGTATGATTCTAAACCCATGCCAGGGGCCAAATCCATCCCCCAAGGGACAGGCTAGAACCCCTGACTGCACACATGCTCAGCACCCGCCAGGGAGGCTTCTTCCCACCATGCAAGATCCCTGTTAGGCACCTAACAAAGATGCTGGGAAAGCCTAGGAGGTCTCACTGGGACAGAACCTTACACTCCAAATTCGAGACATTTAAGAAAAAAACTGATTGAGTGTTTTTGGGAGGCAGCATCAGGCTCCCAAGAAGCCAGAGCAGGGATTACACCTGGGGAAGGATGGACACGAGATCTGAGCCCACATCAGCATCTTGGTGGGGCTGGGACACCACAAGATGCTGCCAAAATCCAGAATTCAACCCGGAGTTGCTGACTCTTCCCCTTCACGCTGCCTTCGGTCTCTAACGAGCTCGGCAGCGTTATTTTCCCCGAGACAAAGAGGCACTTAAAATGTACTCGGCAGAGAAAAGGACTTGTTGGAGCAGCAGGGCAAGGGGGGCAGCCGGGAGGAAGGGCAAAGGAGAGAAAGAATGACAATTACTTACGGGTAATAGGAATAAGAATAGTAGTTCCTCCTGGCAAGCATGCAAACAGAGAGAACAGCAGAAATTGCATAAGCAGGTTTTCTCTGGCATAGGGAAAGGGGGTTACAGGGCAACTCAGCAGCTGGAAAATTAAATGCGCCGTAAAGAAACCTGGCTCCCCTTTTGCATCCGTAGGTTATTTACTCCGGGCAGGAGCCAGCGTCCTGATGGCAGAGCCCAAGCACCAGCTCACAGGGTGACCACAGTCCCTGCACCGGCGGTGGGGTGTCCGTAGCACCCTTGTCCGAGGGGTTATTCCACAATTCTTAAGACTGAACAGTAAACGTATCCAAAAAGCAGGGCACCCCCCGGGGAGCCGGTTAGGGGCCAGGCAATCCCAGCACGGGAGATGCGGTCAGGACGCCGTGTTTCCAGTGCACCATTTATTAGGGGCGAGCGTATTCTGGGGGTGCGTTTCCATTCCACCACGTCAGTGTTTTACCAACGGCAAAACGCTCTGGAGATTTATGGGCTTGTCCCAGCTTCCCGACAGCCCCGAATTCGGGGCCCTCGGCACTGGGTCTGATTTGTGGCTCTGGTTTGTCCTTTGACAGGTTCACCCCGGGATGCTGAAGCAAAGCTGCTCCTCCTCCTCCCGCCCCGCAGCACGGGCAATGGGAACGCAGCAGCCGCACTCATGGCTTCCTACCCGCCGTCCCAACAGCATCACTCCCGAAAACACATCGGCACCGTCGGCATTTGCTCCATCAGGGACAGATCTGATGCCGTACGCACAAGCATCATCCCAGAGCAACAGCGGGCAGGAAGCAAAAAGCCAGTCCTGCACCCCTCGCCGCGTGCAGGGATGCTACAAGCCTTGCTCTTCCAGCTGGCGTAAATCAGCAAGAATCCTTTAAGGCAGAACGAAGCCACAAAGAGATCTGCAGATTTACACAGGCTGAGGTTGTGCCCTGCTATTTTTCTCTCCCCCCTGGCTCTTAACATACTTTCCTCCCATCATCCCGAGCCCTGCACGGGGAAGGCGTTTAATTGCTGACCTTTCTCCCCTGCTTTGAGAGCCCCCCTGGCTCGGCGCTGCCTCGAGCCCCGTGCAGTAAGAAGCTGCTTTCCAGGGCACTGCGCCCAAGCGAAAAGCAGCGGCCGCATCCCCGGCGCTCCTGGGGATGAGTGTCCCGAAAAGCCCTCGCCCTCCTCCCTCCTACCCTGCCGTGATGGCCATGGCCGCATCCACGACAGCCGTGCTCAGCTCCACGACAGCCGTGCTCAGCTCCCCAGAGAGCAGGGACCCCCCCATGGGGGTGGGAGAGCAGTTTGGGGATCCCCAGGGACTGTCACCCTTGGGAAAACCTCCCCTCCAGCATGCACCCAAATTTTAACATCTCATTTAGAGCCAGCTGGAGGCTCTCAGCAAGGGATTGCTCATGTTTCACTGGAAGCTCAGTGGTTCCCCATTAAAACAAGCCCAGGAGGATGCAGGACGGTCCAAGCACCCGCACCCGGGGTGGGCAGCCGCAGGCAGCCCCCTGCCTAGCCCTGGAGGAAGGGGGGATGCTGCTCCTCCCAACGCTCTCGAGGAACCAGAGCCCAGGACGAGAGCCAGAGTCTGACCAGGTATTTCAGCGGGACACACCACACCGCCTTCCAGGCAAAAGCTGTGGACGGAGGCTTTTTCTGGCCATCACCCCAGAACCGAGCACCACCAGGGCTCTGCTCCGCCCGGTGCTGGGAGGCGCTGGGCGCTCACCTGCCATCTCGGGGGGGCTCGGCGGAGGGCCGATAGCGAATATGCTTTCCCTTCCTCCCCACCCCTGGGAACGCCAGCTCGATGCAAGGGAACTGTACATGGCCCCATCCCTAATCTACCCCAAGGGCAAGGTACCAGACCCCAGACAGCAACGCTCACATGGACGGATCCAGCCCTGGGCTGGCCAAGGCAGCGGGGAAGCCCAGAGACAATATCTCAGTGCAGATTAAGCTGATTTTTTTACTTTTCGGCTGGAGGGGTGCAAGGCTGCACACCCCGGGATCCCCCGGCTGCTGTTAGCAAGGAGAGAGCTGGTGGGACAGGGACAGCCAGGTTCAGTGCCGGCCCAGGGCACCGCCAAGCCCGATCCTGGCCAGAAGCATTTCCCTCGATGCAGAATTGACAGAGCAGCACAAAGCCAAGAAGCAGCAGAAAAAGAAGCAAAAGACTGAACAATACAAGGGAGAGGGACAGTGGAACAAAGCAGCAGAGCCCCGAGGGCAAAGGGACCTTCCCGGGATTTTGTTCCTTGGTCCCCCAGTGCCTCCTGCCATGCCCAGTGTCACAGAGCAAGGAGGGCACTGTGCCCGGTGGGATGCGCGAGCACATGGAGGCACAGCTCAAGGGTTTGGAGTCTGCCCAGCGCGGCAGTGTCACCACCAGTAACTCCCAGTTAGTGCTGGGGTGGTGGAGAAGGGCTGAGCTGGGAGGAGGGGACGGATGGAGGCACCAGCCACCACACCGGATCTCCTTACCCTTTCCGAATGATGACGATGATGGCTCCCAGGAGGATAATCAGGACGATGAGCCCTCCAGCACAGATCCCCAGGATCAGGCCCATCTCCTCCGAGTGCTGCGACACCTCCAGGGGACGCTTGCTCTCTTTGCAGGCAGCTGCCAGGGGACAAGGACAAAGCGGGAGGGGTCAGTGCTCAGCTCCAGGGGGGCTGGCAACATCAGACAGGAAATCACTGGGATTTGTCCCATGCGATGCACATTGCTCCTTGAACACGGTTTATTCCACCAAGACATCACGGGGCTCTGCAGTGCCACACCATGACCGTGGGCAAGTCCCCCTCTCGTTTCCCGTGGGGTGAGACGGTCCCTTTGTGCCACCTTTTGTCACGCCCAACGCAAGCTTGTCCATCCCCAGATTCCGCATCCAGCACCACCGACTCCGGTCTCCCACCGCAACCGTGATAATGGCATTAAGAGGAAAAACTCAACCAAGGGAAAAACCCAGATACCAAAGAAAGCGCGAAGCAGGAGCGCAGGATGGGACTGTAATAAACCACTGCGCGCACCCCGACCGCCGCCAGCGCTGGTAACGACAACCGCCGGCACAGCCCTGACCGCCGGAGCAGCTGCAGGTTCGGCTCCACAGCCTCAGCAGGATCACGCCGGCTGGGAAAGGGAGGGCTCACCTTTGCGGGCGATCCGGACACAGTTCAGACGGGTTTCCTATGGAGGAAAAAAAGGGGGGTCAGTGTCAGATGAGGCTCCGCTCCCTGCTCCCACTCCAAGCGAGGCTGGGCAGACGCAAGGCTGGTCCGTCGGTGCTTTGACCCCAAATCGAGGGAGCGTGCAGGTGATTTGTGCTGCAGCACCCACTGCTGAGCCAAAGGAGCTCCTGGGGACGCACACACCAAGAGATGCTGCTGAATGATTTGTCCCCAGTGTCCCCAGGTTTAGCCGAGGCTATCGCTCCTGGCACAGAGGGGATGGCAAAGCTCAAGATCATCAAAGGAGGGACCCAGCAGACCCAGCCGAGCCACAGGTCACCAGCGTGTCACTGACTACAGCTAAAACACTCCCAGATCATCATTCAGAGCTTCGTGGGGTGTTTTTTCATCAATGAAAGTTTACAAGCCCCATCCCTGGTCCTCTGCACATGCTGCCAAGGTTGCCATGAGGGCTTCCAGCTCAGTTCTCCAACAGTTTTACCATTTGCATTTTTAGGGATGGGTTCAGCTAAAATATTCCATTTTCCGTGTATCCAACTTCTGTTGTAAAATAAAAAGCACCATTTTGGCAGGTCTGCCTTCTTCCCCGAGCATCCTCCAGCCCCTCAGGACACCAGTGCTGGCAACGCTGCTCCATCCGCCCTCGGACCAAGACCTGCCCACGCAGCGTGCCCGGGGCAGGGCCGGCTCCGGCACCGCTCTCCCCAGAGTCACCAGCCCTTGCTCCTCCTGCTTCTTGCTCCATCTGGCACAAAAACCACAAAAAACCCAAGCTGGGATCCAGCTTTTTCGCAATGTCTGACAGCAGCCGGGACAAATCCGTTGCCTCCCAGCAGGAAGGCTATAAAACAGCGTCAGCCACCAGTTATTATCCAGCAGTGCCCGAGCGAGCCAGAGCAGAGATCTTCCTTGTTCGTCTCGGCTCTAGTTACAATCCAGCAAGGTGTGAACAATCCTGGAGGGAGGAAAGGATTCAAAAACCGGCACCTTTCTGGCAACACGGAGCCGTGCAGGATGAGGACACTGTCGCGGTCCTGTTGCTTTGCTTTCACAGCTCATCCTCCCCGGGGTGGGACGGGAGCTGCCGGAGCGGGTGAAGCTGAGAAGGGTCCTCAGGGGGTCCCAGCGGTCCCGCCAGTGACTTGGAGAAAATCAGCCCGGGGGGATGCGGGGGCTGCTGCTGGAGCGGGGTTGTTACGGCTTCGCCGAGAGAACAGGCGGCAGCAGGCAGAAAAAGGGCAGCCCGGGAACTTGGCAGCTTCCCAGGAGCTCTCTGCAGCATCCGCTGTGTCCGCAGCGGGTCCCAGTAACACGCACATGGCTCTTGCTGCCCAAATGGTCCCTTTCCACCCCAGGATTAGCCCCAGGAAGGTGGTCTTCCCCGTACTGGTGCTGGTTGGGGTCCCAGCCGGTACCGCAGTGGATGGGGGGGGCTGGCCTTCATCACCCCTGGCATTGGCACCGAGAGGGGGACGGGCACAGCCCAGGGGTGCCGGGAGGAAGGGGGACACCCATCCGTCATCCCAACGTGCCGTAAGGGTGGCCCGGAGCACGACCTCCCCCCGGGCAGGACACTGGGGGTGAGCCCAGAGCCGGGGGGCCCAAGGGAGGGGGGTCTAAAACAAGTCCCATTTTTTTCTGACCCCACCCCCCGGACCCAAGGTGTGCTCCTGCCTGGTCCAACTGGGACCCCAGACACCCCACCGGACGGAGCAGGGTCCCACGGCTACTCACCCCTTTGAGGTTGCTCATGGCTTGGAAGTAGATGAGATATGCCTTCTTGGGCTCCAGCGGCGGGGTTCAGTAGCCACTGTAGGTCTGGTTGTCCCCCACAGTGAAGGGTTTGGCTTCGGTGAGGCTGCTGGCAGGCAGCTCGGCCCCAAAGTAGTGTACAGAGCCGCGGGACACGGCGTCATCGAAGGTGAGCGGCACCGGGAAGCACTCCTGCCCACCCAACTCCCGCTTGAGCTTCTTGGGCCGGTCTTCTTCTACGATGACCTGGTAGGTGCTGGTGAGGGCCACGCACAGGTTAGCTTCGTGAAAAAGGATGGTCCTGCCCTTCCCTTGGTGCTCGACCCCACCGCCCATGCCCAGGAGGCCAACAGGGAGCCAGGGTGCTGCCCAGCCTCTGCTGGGGCTGGCACCAGGCACCCCCGGCATCCCAGCACTGCACAGACCCACCCCCCGCCCCTGTCCTGCCCCAGGCCTGGGGGGCATGGAGGAGAGCCTGGGAGCTGCTCAGAGTTGTGCAGAGCTGCTCCCAGGAGTCCCGAGTTGCTCAGAGATGTGTTGAGCCACGTAGGAGAAGACAAAGGGCTCTCCAGAGCAGGCTGGAGGAGTGGACAGGAGCCAGAAAGATGTCTGCAAGTGGCAGAGGGCTGCCTGGAGCGGCTCCGCACCCCCCCCCCCCCCCCCCCCCCCGAGGGGAAACTGAGGCATGAGCAGCCTTGCCCATGGCAAGGCATCACCGAATGGTGTAATGTGGATTATTACAAAGAAAGAAGTCCCCTCCAGGTCTCGAGCAAACGTTGCAGTTGGGAGTGGACCCGTGGGTGTGAGCTTAGGGGGGGTTATCAATGCCGGTCTGGCAGAGGAGAGGAGACGGCAGCAGGATCTGACCTCGGCAGGACCCGCACGCTCCACCCTGGAGATGCACTCCAGGGACGGCACCACTCCGAACTGCCGGCACAGTGCGAGCATCCCACCCAGGGCAGAAGCACACCCAAGCCAGCCCAGCAGCACCCCCAGACCAAGGCGGGGGATCCCCCTCATGCCCGGCACAGCTCTGTGGTCCCCAAGCCATCACTAGCAGCCGCTTTGCAATTTCAGTGCCCCCGTTAGGGCTCATCTCAGCCCATTTGCTTGCAGTTAATATCAATGCCGCGGACATGAGCAAACAGCCCCAAGTAGTCCGAGGCTTATCAATGAAGCCCAATTAATCCCTCGCTGTACGCTGATAGCTCAGCCAGCACCAGTGCGCCGGGCTGGCCGGACTCCCCAGCCAGAGACCCACATTCAGCCCAGCTGATGGGTCTCGGGGGCTGCCCGGGGGGCTCACGGCATGGCTGCCACCACCAAGAGCATCCTTTGATAGCAGCAGCCAGTCACCAAAATCCACGGGAGCGCACCGGAGGCTCCAGCACTGCCATCATATACCTGTGCGGAGGAGAAGCCCCAGCACCAGGCATGGAGCCTGGGGGAACCTACCAGAGATGTTGGTGGTGATCTCGGTGAGCGCTGTCTGGCCAAAGCCCTTGCCAGTGCGGGCCCGGACCGAGAAGAGGTAGGTTGTGCCGGGGTGGAGGTTGGAGAAGACGTGGTAGGTCTCATTGTGTAGTTTGGAGACAGTGCGTCGTGGGCCAGGCACATTGACCGCCGGGTCGGAGGACTCAATGCTCTGGTAGCTGATCTGCAGGGACAGAGCAGAGCATCACCAGCAGCCGCAGGAGAGGGGAGAGACCCCAGATCCGGGCGGAGAAGGGGTCAAAGGGATGGATTCAGAGGAGGGGATGGTCATAGGGGCAGCCTGGAAGGCAGATGCTTTTTGGGGTAAATCAAAAGCAGAGGTTCATCAGAAAAGCCCTTGCTGGATAATACTGGTGACCCCAAAAGCAGGACTCCCCAGCAGGGACAGACCCTGCTAGCAGGAAGAAGAACGCAGGCTGGATCCGTGCTCCAAACGAAGGGCTTGGGGGCAGCAATAACACTGCAGCCACCCTTAATCCCCGCGACCGAAAGTGGTGGTTGCCCCAGATCTCCTGCACCATATCCCCCCCGATGGGACCCTCCCACGTTCCCGTGGGTCCCCTGCAGGTGCCGCAGCCGGCCAGGACGCACCTCGTACTGTGTGATGAGGCCGTTGGGCTCCACCGGTTCCTCCCACTTCAGAAATATCATGTCCTCCAGCGGGGTGAAGGTGAGGGACTCCGAGGCAATGCCACCGGGCACTGGGGAAGGAAAGGGGACATGCTCAGATGTGGCAAGAAACCGGGCTGGAAGGATAAATCATCTGAGAAACCCCTCCAGGAGGCTGCAGCAGCTCCCCCCTGCGACCGAGCCACCGTGTCCCCTCTGCCATGCCACCCAGCTCTGGCATGTGCCACCAGACGGGGCTGGGGGCTCCCCAGCGAAATGATGCACCTCCCGTGCTCCCCGGCCCACCCACGGGGCGGGGGGGGGGGGGCCCCCTCGCCACGGCACAAACCCTGCAGGTACCATTTCTGGCATCGCACCCAGTTTCCGCCAGCAGAGCAGCAAGCCCCCAGGCGCCCTCACCGGCGGAGCTCACCCGAGCTCACCAGTGCGAGGAAACAAAAAAAAATAATTCCCTTTTCCCATACAACCCCAATCCCCCCGCCGGAGCCACCAGCATCCTCGGGAGACATTGCCAGCGCTCCCCCCAGCAAGCAATAACATCCTCATCTGCAGACCGGCTTGACATGCCCCAACCTTCCCCTCTAATTAACACCAACAACAATAATAACCGCAAACAATAACAGCGATCGACAGCACTGGGATCGATATTCACTTCTTTACCACGGATTTCTTGACCCGAGGGGGTGAGTGAGGAGGACAGGAGAGGCGATGGCTCAGCAAAGACCACAAATTCACCAGCAGCAGCCTCCACTGCGGGCTTGAGTACCCGAAACACGCACCCTCTCGTTGCAGAGGGACGTCAGCGCTTCCCCTCTCTTTTTCTTTTTTGCAGCTTTTGTTCAGATCTAATTACGGGGCCGAGAGAGAGGGATCGCCTTCCGCGCGCTTCCCACCGTGCAAATACACAATTTCCACTTGATTTACAAGTTAATTTAATCAGAGGCACCGTGTCCTACACATGTACACAAGGCACTGATTAAATTCACGGAGAATTACGGAAACCTTTAGGGCAAGAATGTGTGTACCTATATAGATATTTTTATATATATAGGCACGGGCACCACGCGCTTGTGCAGGCAGCAGGCTGAGACCGGCAGAGGCGCACAATGGCTCCCAGGTGTGCGTATACCTCTCTGCCATCCATATACGCACATATATATTTCTTTATGCATTTATATATATTTATTCTGGCTGGCACTGCATGCACCCTGCCTGCAAGGGAGGGAACCAGCTCCCTGCACACACCTCTCCCCAGCACCAACACGCTGCAATGGCATTTCCATAGGCACCCGGGATTGAGCCTCATCGTTTCGTGCAGACATAGTCCAAAATCCCCGAGCATCCTTGGATCTATATGGGGCACTTGAACACCAGCTGGGCAACCTACGGATGGGTCACTCTCTTCTCTCGGCGCCCTGCCCACGCACCCAGGAGGCAGCAGGACTTTACCCGGGGTCCAAGGGGGATGCTGTGAACAACGCCCTTGGATTGGCCCAGTTATTAATGCCCCAAAAATGGGTCTTCCAGTCCCAAAACAGGGAATGGAATTACCCCTTGGGATGGGGGTGTGCATCTTTGCAGCCTACGCCAGGGTCCCCCACCCCCAGACAAGCCCCAGCGTCGCACCAGCGGATGCTGCAGCCGAAGCCGGCCCTGTGCCAAAATAAACCCCGAATCAAGGGTCTTATCAAGCGGCTGCTCGTCACCCGGTTGTGGGAGCTCGAATCCTCACCATCCTCCCAGGCAGGGAGACGCTGGGCCAAGCCTGCATGTAATATTTGCAACATATCCACAGGCAGATATCCATCGATCGATCCCGCCCGAGGCCGGACATATACGCGGCCCCAAGTTCAATCCAAGGGGCGAGCTGCAAGCCCCGGTTAATCAAGGCATAGGGGAAAGCAGCTGGAGTGATTACAGTATAGCAAAAAAACATCTGGAGCTCCTGTATTAATATTCAATATGAAAACAGCTGGAACAGTCACAGCACAGTGAGAACAGCTGAAGCAATTAGAGCCAGAAAATAAACCGTCAGGAGCGTGAAGCTGGGTGCCCCCGATCGGGCAGGCTCAGGGTTGGGGATACAGAAAGTGCTGATGCACAGAGAAAGGTGCCGAATTTCAGCTTTAGAGCTGAAAACGGGACCCGGAGACCCTCCCGGCTCCGCTCCAGCTCTGCAGGCTTTGCTTTCCAGCCTGGGAAACGGGAGCGATGAGTAACGCGCGCACAAAAGCTGCACGGTTCGGTGGGTCCCAAATCGAGGCGAGTCCCACGCAGGGGGATCTCACAGCAGGCTTCTCCTCGGGGGTCGTCCAGGGGGCCTGGAGCCAGCCAGATCCTTTACAATTATCAATTTTCCACCTTAATTGCTGATTTGTGATACTAAAAAGTGCTTCGGAGACTAATTACGTTCTTGCTTAACAGTAAGCACCGGTGTCTCTGCGAGAGCCAGGGATGCTCCGGCCACACTCAGCACCCACCCCAGGGCACAGCGGCTCCTTGCACCACACGCAAGCCCCAGCCGCTGCTGCCCTCAGCAGACCAGGATGAGACCCCCTCGCCCCACCAGGCTGCAGGACCAGCGGTCAGAGCGGCAGCATTTGGGGGCTGCCCAGCTGTCCTTCAAGGTGGATGAGTCGGCACGGCACGCGGAGGAGATGCTGATGGGGCAGCAAAGAAGGTGTGATGAGTGGAAGGAGTTGTTGGTGGGAGCTGCCAGCCCTGGATGTGGCCCGTCACTGATGGGTGGCACCGGAGACACGGAGCTGGCTCTGCCCTGTACCTCCTGCCACATTCACCGGATCTCCAGAGTTCAAAATCACCCGAGCACTCCGCTGATGGAGAGCCGCAGCCAGGGACCGTGGTGCAGGGTAAGGCCAGACCTGGGAGACCTCTCCGGTGGCCCCAGCTCCAGGACATCCTCAGGGAAGGGCTGGGCAGGAGCAAGAGATGCCAAACCCAGGAGTCCTGGAGGAACACTGGAGCCTCCGGAGAGGACGTCAGCCCCGCTCGGGTGCTGGCAGCGGGGACTCAACCCCAGGGCACGGCCAGGACGGGGAGAAGAGAAACAGCTCGGCTGCTCAGGAGCAACGTTGCTGGCAAATAACGGGGGCCAGACATCCCTTATCAACACACGCTCATCCACAGAGCTCGTTTGCACAACCCGAACACACCCGAGAGCAAACTTAACCGAGGAAGAGCACTGGGGAAGCCGAGCAAAGCTGCACTGGGCTCTGGTTAACAGCTGTCTCCCAGCAATGCAGCAATGCCGAACTGATCAGCGACCAAGCAGATAAAAGATGTTACCTAAGTGCAAAGCATTGATTGTTTCAATTATTATTATTGCTGCTAGGCTTTGGTTCCACACTAAGGGATGAGCGAGGATGACTCGTGCTGGAAGAAGCCGGGCATCAGCCAACTGTTGTGCCCTTCACCGGACCAGGCACAGTTAAATCATTCCACTCGAAGGACCAGGGCAGCATTTCTGCAGCGACGTAGGATGTTCCTCCACCAGAGCAACCGGTGCTGCCCCATCCCCATCCAGTCCCCTCGTCCGCCCGAGCCGCTCCCAGCATTTCCCTTCCCCAGCCACCATCATCGCCCCTTTCTCTCGCCTCCCCTTGCACAGCCCTGGGGCTGCAACAGCCTTTTCACCTCCCCGCTAGCGCAATGGCTGCAGGAGATATTCCCATCGTGCCCTTGGCCAAGAGCCACAGACGTGCACCGTGCCACACCCCGGCAGCTCGCCAGCCAGAGAGTCACATTTCTGGGGACGATGCCCCCCCCCGGGCAGACTCACCATCCTCATCTGTCTGGAATATCACCTCCTTGCCCTCCTTGCGACCCTCGGGGTTAGAGAGGATGAGCTTGACGTGGATGTTCTTGTAGGGCAGCAGGTTTTTGATGGTGTAGCGGTTGGCGTTACGCTCCATCTTCACACACTCCCGGAAGGTTTGGTTGTGGCCGGTGCCCACGAAATAGCGGTAGCAGAGCGAGACGGTGTAGGTGTGACAGCGGGTCAGGTTGTAGCCCAGCGGCTCCCACTGCAACGTCAGCTGCCTGGACTGGATTTCGGAGAAAGCCAGGCCTTTGGGGGCCCGCATGGGCTCTGTGGAGGAAGAGAGATGGGGAAAGATGAGCGACGAAGCAAAACATCTCGTGGGTTTAAGTGTATTATCAGGGAAAGCCCTTCTACAGCGTAGGGGTGAGATGGCCACGTGTAAAGAGCAACCCCGACCCCAAAACTGGGACCAGCCCCGGCACAGGATGCTGCTGCCCTGCAGACAGGGCTGGGGACGTCACCGGGTCTCAAAGCCACCAACACCGCAGGGTCAGCAGCCCCCATCGGCTCATCCTCCCCTACGGAAGAGCCACGGCAGGCACCGGGAGCATCCACACCGCGAGCGGCCCCAAATAACCAGATAAACATGCTTGCACGATGGGAGCCCTCGCATTTTCATCAAGCCCATGTCAGGCTCTCCAAAGGAGAGAGACTGAGCACCGTCGCTGGGAAGGAGTTTAATTAGCTTTAATTGGCATGAACAGGAGAAGACAGATTTAATGAGGAGCCAAGCTCCTTTGCCAACAGCGCATGCACACAGGTGGTTTGGGTTAATGGCAGTAAACTCCTTTCCATACCCAAGGGTGGTGAGAAGGACACCGAGAGGGAAGGAGGGTCTTTGTCCACCCTGTCCCAGATCCCCCAGGCAATTCCCCTGGGATTTGCACTGCGGAGGAATTTGGGCAGCTCAGGGTTGTAAGAGGCTTTTGCAACCTCAGCGGATGCTCCTGCAGGTCCCAATGCCCTCGCAGGACCGTGCAAAACCCCAGCTGGTTTTTGGGGGGGTGAGCACAGCAATAGGCACACAGCCCCACCCTGCGGGGACCCCAGCCTTAAACCCATTGCCACGTCCGGCTCTACCAAAAAACACCAACCCTCAGCCCCAATGCCCACCGGCATCCCTCCCGTTGGGTGGCCAAGGGCACAGGGACCTCTCCTGCCACCTCTCCCCAAGGCCTCCAGAGCCCCCCACACCTCCCCGGGCAGCGCCGTGCGGTGCCAGGCTTCAACCTTCCCCTCTCCTTTTTATTCCACTGTATTTAAATGCTCCGGGCAGAGGCCGGCAGCACGGCACCCGGGGCCGATGACGGCAGGCAGCACACGGCCACGTGGGGCATCTCCCCCCGCCCCCGCAGCTG